CTGGCGCCTACCAACCTAACGGGATACTTCACGCATTGCGCAATGCGTGAAGTATCCTAGTTAGGTTTGTAGGCGCCCATGTGCGTGTTACGCTGGTTGCCCGCCGCGCCAAGGAGTGCTACGGCGCTTCAAGCAGCTATTTCGCGACAGAGGTGTTGTACAGTATCATTCGACATTTGAGTGTGCTATAGGAGCAATGCACAGGGTTTTCAGACTGCCTGCACCAGGCTTTTTTCTCGGTCGTTTCAGGTCGTATGAAGTCAGGGTTGAATGGGCCATTGACCATAAGAAATCCGAATTTCGAGTCAACTGCAATAGAATTGAAAAGTACAGTATTTCACTCAAGATTAACCCCTAAAAATTCAAAATTGGACGGGACCCCTGACTCTTAGGATCGTGGTCCCCCCTTTACCATGTTCGTTTGAATTCAATCATAAATTGGACGTATTTCTGCCAAACGGAACTATGTGCATTAAGACGTGAGCCCTGAGACTTATCAGAATATATGCATAACAGGGCTCACGTCATAATGCACGTAGTTCCGTTTGGTAGAAATACGTCCAATTGTTGGTGCCACACGCTAGGAACCTCCAAAAAATCCGCCCGAAAACCGATCCCCGATCGACCCGGACCCTCGAAGCTTTGGCGAGGCGGAAAGTTATCAGTCTGAGGAGAGTCTCGACTCCGGGCGAGATAATACGGTACTCGACTGCACGCGAACGCGCTCTCGAGCGGGGAGGTACTCGATGGCTGGCGGGTCTCATAACCGCGGTTGGGTCGTGCGAGGGAGCTAAAAATACGGAATGAGATCGATTGGATATTGATTCACGGTGGCATGCTCCTCTCGGGTGACTGCTGAGTCGGGCCCGGGAGCTGAGGATGAGTGTAGAGTGTCTCATCCAGTCCTCGCCGAGATAAAGCGAGCGCCGTTTCCAAGTGTGCTTGTCGCCGCTTCCTCGAGGTTCATGCTCCGGGCGGCGAACGGGAACGTGATTCCCCGAGACCGCACGTTCTGGAACCGGCTCCGTTAAATCATCCTCCGCCGTCGACGCTCGACGTCGCAGCGAGTTTAATTGCATAACGTGCAGTTAAGATGATCCCCGGGCGTAGACCTTATTATCCGCTGTATGTGAGGGTGTCGCGGGTGTAGATAATACTAGAAGGATGCGCCCTGTGGTGCCCACGCGGCCCCGGCGGAGTGAAGGTTTTCTGGGTGAAAAGTGAGGGTCTTTTGAGTGAAAAGTGGGGGTCTTTTGAGTAAAAAGTGGGGGTCTTTAAGGCGAGTGGAAACCAGCTCAGAAACACATATCATGGGGTAATTTGCACTGAAAAAAAAACTCTAGCCGTGGGAGCCGCAGTTACGGGCTATATAGACATATCGTCCGTTCCGGGCTCAAAGGCCGAAAATTCCGGCTGCTGGAGGCGTAGCTTCGATTGCTCCGGGTTCAGAGGCCGAAGCTACGACTTCAGCAGCCGGAATTTTCGGCCTTTGAGCCCGGAACGGACAGTATGTCTATATAGCCCGTAATTGCGGCTCCCTCGGCCGCAGTTTTTTTTTCAGTGTGGGGGAAAAGAAAAAAGTCCCTTTTGATGGAAATATGTGCGAGTCGCAACACTGAACAGCATGGGGAAATTTTGAAATCGGAAATTTGAAAAAGAAGTATTAGAAAGTAGAAAGTATTAGACAAGTATTAGAAATTAGAAAGTATTGGAAAAGGGGTTAAAAAACACTCACCATTGTACCTTGGTGCCTTAGTATTGTATAAAAATATCACAGCTCTAGATGGCTGGTCGTCAATTGATAAAACCTGATCGGGATTTTTTCCTGGCTTGGAAATGGTGACCTAAGACCTATGCTCATGAGGTCAGTCAACCTCTAACGACCCGCTTCGCGAGCTCTGGTAATCCGAATGGAGCGGGGTCATTTAGAGGAATAATATGGAAACAGAGCAAGGGAACGGGCGCGCGTTGATGACGGCGCAGAGGTGCAACTATTCGTGCTTGATGGATGTCCGTGTTGCATCTGCATAATTGAAGGCGCGGTGGCGCGAGACGTGGACTCGAAACGCTCTTTGCTGCCAATGAGGTGTCACTCAGATTCGGGAGAAAAGTTAATGAACGAGGCCTGATTACGTTTCGCCTATTTTCGGCTGTGTCCATCCTTAATTGTTTCCTTTTTTTCCAATTTGATGGCTAATTCTTCTTTTAGGATGTAATTGTAAGCTCTTATCTATAGCTCGTACACGCCTGAAGCGTAACTCCCCCAGAAGCAGAGATGGCCGGGTCAATTTAACTCGGGTTTGGATATCTGGGGATATTTGTCGAGAAGAAAAAGAAAAATTCCCGAACACTCGATTTTTTTCAATTTGATGCCCAATTCTTTTTTACGGTATATTTGTAGACCTAAATCTGAAGCTCGTAAACACTAGCCGCATACAACCCGTGGCTTCCCTGTTTTTAGCAAGCCTCGGGTCAATTCGACCTAACGTGGGCATCTAACGATTAAATTTACTTCAGTTGCACCGGTTACATTCCGCTTCAAAACTAGTTTCGCCTGGGTGTCACCAGTGCAACGCAACGTGATTAACATTTTACGAGAATAAAACTCGCATAAGCTCAACGTGCTTAATCGACAGACGATGGAAAGACCAAGAATAGAGTACTTGATTCAGCGCAAGTGAGCGGAATCCTCCAGGAACCCCAGAGTAAGAGCTTCTAAACACTTGTAAAAGCACTTGCTCTATTTTTTTAATAATTTTGCGCTGATTTGATCTTGATCAGTCTCAACAGCTCCGAGTTCATCTCGCTGCAGACCACTCGAAAAGTGCTAAATCCTTTTTTTCCGATGGCTCCTCGCCGCGGTCCGCGTGATGAAGGCATCCACTGGCATGGCGTACTTTGCGATATATCGATCGATCTGCCATTTAACTTATGGAAAAGGATCGATAAACAAGGTGCTCGCAACAAACATCTTAATCATCAATTTTTTACCGTAACTTTAAATGGGGGAAATATCGAAAATCGATCATTCACGCCTCGCCACTGAAGGCATCGTAATTTTGCAAATACTTTAGTTGAACCGGTGAGCCCTTGAGTCCATTCGAGTGCGAACATTACGAGACCCATCAGATAATAGACTTGCGAGGTTTTATCATTGAAAGATTCAGATATTTTCAGTGGAATAATTTCACGAGTGTTTTTGATAGGCAGACGGATTAGCGGCGGGTTTCATCCTTCAGATGCAGAATACGAGAGTCCAGATGGGTTCTTTTCTTTCTTGTAGGTGCCTCTTGTTTACCTGTAATTTTTGACTTGATCGTGGACGCTAAAACAATTCGTATGAAAAACCTTGATTTAACTCAATGGTTGGAAAACTACAGCTCATAAGTGCATACAAATTGTTAAAATTGAGGCTTATTGTTAGGAGCCATGAGAAACACAGTTACGGAAGATTCCAGTCTCTTGCATTTCTGCGGGGATTGAGACGGGTATATTGATGGCCGAGGTGCAAAACAGCGTATCTCCATTTTGGTGTTTCAAAATTTCTACACCTATTTTATTTTTTTAAAGAGAAACAAGCCAAATTTTCAGCATGAAATTTCTACGCAATATTCTACCAACAGAGAGGAAAAATCAAGGAGGTTTTCAAGAAATGATGTCTACTTTTCGAAAGGAAATATGAATATGACACTAAGTCTGCAACGTCGCAAACAGAAATACGTGGTTTCGCACCATAACCATTGATATGTTCACGGCAGTGATGTTTTCAGCATATCGATGGCAATTGATTGTTCTTCTGTCAGCCCAAAAATTTCAATTTTCAGAAATGATGAGAATAAAATTCTTACCAACCTTGTGCAAGGTACTGAATTGTACTTTGTGATTTGTCACTGATGCAACTTGTATTTCGTCAACGAGCAAAAACCTAACTTCATCGTTGTCAACTCGTTCTTTAGGATAAAAAGTGTCAAAAACTCAAATTTCTACTTTTCGATCATTTGGAAAAGGGAAACATCACCAAAATTTACCTCATTAACTAAGATCCCTGTGTTTGCTTACAGTCTGAAAATAGCGTCCGCTCTTCATTTTTCTTAAAACAATGCGTTTTGCACCTTAATGGACACTGCCAACCTTCAAGATCGCATCAGTTTGCTACGAAAGATAATATGTAAAAGTATGGGATGAATAATTTAGAAAAAAACGAATGGCTTTTAACTTTGGTTCAAGGAGAGCTGCACTGAAAAAAAAAAATCTCGGTGTATTTATTAAGAAAAGGGTAAAATTACCAAGAATTCAGGGCTCCATTTGATCCCAGTTTTTTCTTGGTAAAATTACCATTTATGGAATTGGTAATTATACCGAGAAATCTCGGTAAAATAATGGAACTTTCTCGGTAATTTTACTGGACCTTGGTAAAAACGATACTTTTTATCGACTGTGGTAGAACTACCGAGATAAAATGGCAAAGTTACCGGGAATTGATTACCGATAAAAGTGGTATTCTTACCTGAAAAAAACAGTAAAAATACCGATTTTTAGGTAAGCTTACCAGTCTGCCTTAGTAAAAGTACCAATAATTGGTAAAAAAAAGTGAGATGGTGAAGGTATCAACGGACCTTGGTGAAAACGCCGAGAATTTTTGTTCAGTGTGGTGTAACATTTTACATGGCGACCTGCAGACGTTGCATAAAACTATGAGGAATCTCGACTGGAAATATTTCTCTTATCATAGTCTAGACCAGTTATAATGGAGTGCAATACTTAATCCGTAGAGAAGGATTCACATCTATAAATATAAACCGCGGTAAAAGTACCCGGTGGATTACATCTGATTCAAAAATAAAATAAATCTTCAAGTGGCAGCGTGAGAACTCTCATCTCCGATGAATTGACAATGAGTATGCAGCGACAGGGAGCATGATTTTCAACGAGAAATATTTCCACTAATTCATTTCAATGGTCTTTGATAAGATAGATTTAGTATTTAATATAATTATTTCATCGGATTTCCCTCAGTAGTTTCCAACTCAGCTTTGAGTAACCATCAATTTTCAGTCGCGTTGAGAGTGCGCCCATTGTGACTGTGCTAGTGCTCTAATTGGATTACACGAGCCTTTTCAACATGTGTGCGTTCAAATACATCGTATTTTTTACTACCCTCCAGTTCCTTTTGTCTACGACAGTGGGAGCGCCCAGCCATATTTCTTTGAAGTTTGATACAATGGACTTCAAAGTCATGCAGGTAATTTGTCTATTCTTATGCTACTTTCATCAAAACTATTTTCCGAGCTTCATTTCTCCGCAAATATAAATTATTATTCATCGTTAAGGTAGAGAAATTTTAGAAATATTCCAAAATGAATTCAGTAAGTCTTCAGGGTAACTTTATTCCTAATTTGATGTGTATAAGATTTTAAGACTGAGAAAAGATTGGTGCGAATAGAAAATCCGGTACAAGCATATTATATTAGTGGCATTTTTGGACCATTTTTTTTGAAAATTTTGTGGTCACTGAATAATCAAAACGTGGTTATTGATGCTACAGTGTAGAGCAAAGCTCTACAAATATCTTGGGACGAAAAACGCCTAAGTATGTCAAACCCATCCTGAATTTGGGCAGTCTAATGTTTGTAGTTAAAAACACGTAGTTTTGAGAGAAAATTACTAAAAATTCTTACTTGTAATGCTGAGGGTACTTAATTGCCAGATATTAATGCAACTTTATGCCCTCGATCAGCGCAAAAATGAAATGCACCACATTTTTCAATAAGGAACTACTATTTCCGGCTCATTTTCGAAACAACATAGTATGTGCTCTCAGTTTTCCTAAGTTGATAGTTGCATTAAAGGCTGCCTTATGAATAGTAGTTCCTGATTGCAAAATGTATTTCAAATGAACTATTGAACAATTAACAACTGTCAAATTACAAATAAATAATTTACTAATTGATTTTCTTGGTTACTTCCAGAAATTGAATGTATCAAATCTGGGCCCGACTCTAACATCTTTCAAATCATTTAAAAACACGTATAATCGTCAATATAAGAATTTCGATGAATACCTCGAGAGATTCAACATATTCAGAAAGAACCTGGACACAATCGAGGAACTGAAGAGAAAAGAAAAGGGGACAGCCAAATATGGGATCACGCAGTATGCCGATTTGACCCGTAAGTTTCTATCTCGCAACTCGTGTTTAATTTATGAGATAAAGTTTCTAAGAACTCTCGTAAAATCAAGATAGTAGCATCCAACCAAGCGATATTCAAAGTGTTACAACATGAATATTTCTTACGGAAGGGAAAAATTCTTTTCCCTGAAACTATTTGCTCCAAAAGTGAGATTTGGATGTTTCATCCGGAAGTAATTACTTGAACGAATTACGCTAGCTAATTTCGAAAACCACGTATCTCATCAGCAGTCTTTTAAAATTTCAACATTTTCTTTATTTCTTCCGAGGAAAAACTTACCTTCCTATGACTTGAATTTTTGTTTTACTTCTTTTACTATTCCGTGGCTATTCTTTAAAAAACCTCAGTTACATTTTAGTTCTTGTATATTTTGAAAAATGAGATATGTTGTGAGTAAGCTACGGCACTTTGGAGTTTAGTCCGTTGCTTACCTTTAGCCATCGATTAGTATTACTAAAAGACTGACAACTAATGTCAACGCAAGTTGCTTAATACAGTCTATAGTTAATTCTTTCAGTGTAAGTACATATGCTCTCCTTCAAGAGAGCCTCTAAAGAGCTTCTGAAGTCTTTCCTCTATATGAGATCAGTTTAAAAAATTTTACTCTAGAATTTAGTATTTGCGACATTAATCATGAAGCGTTAAGCCAATTTAAATTTCATTAGCCATCAATTTGATTTTACCTTTTATCTTTTTAGCCGAAGAATTCGATCAGCGGTACAACGGTCTGAGAATGTCTCACGAGGAGAAGCTGAAAGAAGAAGAGAATCGAGCAGACGATATTGACATCAAAAATCCAGCGTACTACGACTGGAGACGTCATGGAGCTGTGACACCTGTGAAACAACAGGTTAGTTTCTTAGAATTTACTTAAATGATCTAAAGTATTATGCGTTTTTTTAACGTTGAACTATCCATTGAACAATTTACAAAAGAAGGTTGCACCTCCGATTCTCCCTCATAATTTTTTATTTTATTTCACATTGGCCTCTCTAGAGTGAGGCAATGCTCTGCGGTAACAATTTAACCATTCTTATAAAAATTAGGAGCTGGACACGTTCATTTTGATCAGTGATTTGATTGAAACTGCATCTACGGACAATTGAATTGAATTGAATTGAATTTATTGAGCTGGACACAATAGATACGCTGTCACATTGTGATATTTGAGGACTCAAGCTTTGATCATCAAGGTAGACGCATATTTTCTTAATCAATTTTGAATTCCAATCATTATTATCTCTTGGAAAAGTAGTTCTGTACAACAAATTAGCTTTTTTCAAATAATTTGAATTATCTTGAAGTTTGTTTTTAAAGGAAGCCTCCGCAGTTTTCAATAAAATAAAAATTAATTAGAACATTTTTTGTTGATGTTGCAGGGGTCTTGTTTTTCTTGTTGGGCATTTTCAACTACGGGGAACATTGAAGGTTTATTAGCTCGAAAAACTGGCAATTTGGTCACGCTATCTGAACAAGGTAAATTTATATTCCTTATTGTAAGAGTAATGAGTGATGAATGAGTTTTTACATCTGTAGGAATCATATAGATAGGTAGCAGAGGGTATTCTTTCCCGAAATCTCAGAATCTAATTATCTTACTTATTTTTACACAAAAAATTCTTATGAAATAATGTCTCCTTGCTGAAGGTAATTTTTCCGTGGATGATCACGCGAATGGAACCATGCAAAAAGAGGTCTGTTCAAATTTTGGGAAATGGCGTGTAAGCACGCATTCAAACTATGGAGTAGATTTTTGAAACGTTGGTATGACGTTAAAGCGCACTGTCGTGCTAAGGAAAAACGCCGTAAGGACATTCAAATGTTGCCGAATTTATTCTCAGCAAATACCAATTTGCAAGGATAGTAACGAATCTTTTTTATTGAAATTTGCAGATACTTTAAATTAAATTAGGAACAAAATTTCATAAAAATTTGAAGGATTAATACTCCCATATTAGTCCAAAAAATTGTAATTTTTCGAAAGAAGTTTGGCATCATCTGAAGGCTCATACGGCGTTCTTCCTTAGCATGGCAATCTAGCACGTTTATTCATCTGCGAATCATATTTTTCATGTGCTAAAAATTACTGAAGGAAAAACCAGGACAAAATATAATCATACTCATTTTCTTGTTCTCACAGAACTTGTAGACTGCGATAGCAAGAACCACGGTTGTATGGGTGGCTACATGACGGACGCGGTTCGGGAGTTGGCTGACAATCTGGGCGGATTGGTGGCCGCTGACGACTACCCGTACTTGGAGGACGACAGCATTTGCATCCTCAACAGGAGCCAAATCATCGCCGAGGTCAAGGATGTGATGGTGTTCAGTAAGAAGGAGGAGAATATCGCCAAGTGGATGTACAAACTCGGGCCCTTGTCAGCTGGGATCAATGCGAGACCTTTACAGTGGTACCTCGGCGGGATCATGCACCCGAGTAAAGAGGACTGCTCGCCTTCGAAGCTGAATCATGGCGTCCTTATCGTCGGATACGGTATTCAAAGTAAGTATTCAGCGCTTCAAATTAAACCTGAACATGTGAAGAGACAAACTATGCTCAATATTCGGGAAAATGATTTCGGAGTAATTGTGTTCTTCAGTATTATGAGGTACAGTGAGGTACACCTTCAGAGGTATGAAAGTACAGGGTGTTTAACAAATAGAAATAAATAACAGCACTAACAAAAAAAAGTCTGTAAAGTAAATTGACAATAAGAATTTCATTCTTAACGAGATAATTATGTATTCTATTCTGTTTCAATTACTGCATTTTACATAGATTCTCAAAATTTATCGACAAAGTTTTGCAATGAATTATTTTCAATCAAACATATTGAAGCGCAATTGATTCAACGATTCAATTAATTCAGTTTTATTTCATCGGATTAAATCACACACCTGTCTTCCCATTCTAATTTCTTTACTTTTCTTGTTTCCAGAGGTACCAGAAGGCTCGATCCCATATTGGACGATCAAGAACAGTTGGGGCACAGAGTGGGGAGAAAAGGTAAATTTTCATTGCTTTCAATTTTTATTTGACTAATTTTACATTAATTTCAAAAATAAATATGACGGAACCACAAGGTCAATTTCAAATTTGTGGAATTTTCACTCGATCTCTGAAAATACTGCTAATCGAGATAGAACTAAGTAGTGAAATTGGAAAGAAATTTGAGCGATGATAGAAACTTAATAAAAAATTTAAAACTTGTGCGAGAGTAATGACCCGAAGATTCGCCTTCATATCTCATGGTAGGCCAAAAATAATACACATGTCACGTTCAATATTGATGACGGTAACATTGCCTTTCGGACGTTTGCCTCTGCAGTAATAATAAATATAAATGTTTTATTTTTCTAACTTAGTTTGATCAGTAATGCATATCGCCGCCTCTCTGACGTAAGGGCTAATCTCTATTTCCGCCTGAGTCTTGTTCTTCGTAAGATTACATGCTTTACGGGACTCATGTGAAAAATGTTGCTGATCGGTGGAATGCAAAGATCAATTATTTTGTTTTTTTTAGATGAAAAAACATAACTTAATTACAAGGTTGCAAAATCAATCAACTAATTCAATGTTATACGAGAATATGATTGTCTGTTACCGTTCAAAAGTTTGCTAATTTATGCAAGAGATCAGAATAAAAATCAGTGCTTGCAGTCAGAAATTCCCAACAGTTTCCTGGTAAAATTAGGATTTACGAGGGGAAATGTTGCAACGTTGAAATGTAGTTACGTTCTTTTGTCTGAGAAACGTAAAATACACGATCCCATGACTAGCATAACTTACTTACCTACTCTAATAATTATTTTCAATTTTTTGTGCAGGGATACTTTAAAGTATATCGCGGCGATGGTACTTGTGGAATCAACGAGGTTGTGAGCTCGGCAGTCATGAAAGCAGATGATGATGACGATTCCGAGGAGACCGAGGAAAACGACGATAATTAATTAATTAATTAAATTTAGATGCCAAGCACCTTAAAAAAAGACTGAAGATAGCATTTAAAGATTATCATGAGACTGAATGAATGATTTAAAGTTGCATTACATTAATGCGAATTTGTTATTACTTTGATGTGTCATCATATCGTGTGTGCTTTTTACTATACATTCAATTACTTAATTTATTTATAAATTTATTTTATTTTTTGCTGATAATCACGGCCTTTTTTCAATGCTTAAATTTTAGTATTGCAATGTTCCCCAAACGCAGAAATTCATATTTTTTGTATCTATTTATTTATTGTTTCACGTAAACTTATTGTGATGTATGTTTTCATTTTACGCTGCATGTATTTGACATGTTTGAGACTGTATTTGTTTCAAGTCACTGAAAAGCAGATGTATTTTTTTGTGAATTGAAAATGTTCAGAAATGATTATATATGAAGGGTGATGGATGTAAATTGTGCCCAAGTATTATTATTTAGTAAGTGATAAGTCATATTTATTATTATCGAATTTTGTAATTTTTATGGAGTTGAGAAAATGCATCCTCAATCCAAACTTGTTGTGCATAAGTGTTGTTAATCAGTATGCCTCGCAATAGCTTATATATGTGATGTCTTATTTATGAACTTTTTATACCACTGTTTTTATAAAAAAATGGCGTGAGTTTTATTAAGCTGTGTAAATACGAGTGTTAATTTAAATAAAATATCACGGATAAATTAAACAATGTTTTTCATTGATAGCGAAACCTACCCTGAGGAAGTGCGTTAAGAGCGTTTGAGTATTTACGTGGATGACTAGAGTTCACTTCAAAATTTTATGCAATTCATGATGAAAGGAGAATGATGAAGTCAAAACTTTTAAAATATGATACGCATCAAATAGCAAGTGAATTAAGATAACGGGAGTTATTCTTGAAGAAATGTGGAGTCGGAAGGAGTCTAGTATTTTCACAACAATTGAACATATTAAATGTCAAATGAGAATAGCAGGGAAAAGGTTAAAGCTGAGCTTTCGCAAAAGAAGGATAACTCAAAAGGACACCCCCCTCCCGGCTCACCCAAAAGAAAGGAGGAAGAAAAAGAGGGAAAAAGGAAGAGGGAAGGAACGGAGGAAAGAAGGAGGAGGGACGCTAAGATTTAGTAATTACACTGGTCAACACGAGTAAATTTTCCTCCAATATGCTAAAACAGAAGAATTTTTGAGCCGATCCCGAAAATGACCTCCACTTTACTGGGTCAGATTGAATTTCCTCGGAAAATCGGAATTTGTTCGTAAAAATCTAGCTTTTCCAGAGAAAAATCAACTTCCTGGAAAATTCGTGCACGACGGGGAAATCTCAAGGTAATTTGATTATATGAATTAAATCCACAAAAATAAAGATTTGTTGATTAGTGTTATTCAAGACGAACTTGACTCATACTGCATGTTGAATGCTTTAAAATTTCAACCATTTTCTGGCGGGGAGCCCCCCGGACCCCCCATACGCCCCCTCGTTCGAAGTGTTCTGGATCCGGCAATGCTTATCAACTGGTATTAAACCCTCCCTTGCCCAAGCCAGGCTTTGCGAAGAACGTGCGATTTGTCGTCGGCTCGCAGCGATACATCCGTCCATTGTGCTGACAGTTTTAGACCCGCAGCAGATTAATCTGTGTGTTTGTTTAACTGCGTGCAGAGCAGAGAGTTGGTGAATGTATGGCTTCGTGGGACCGAGTGGCCAATTTATTATTGAGGATCGGGTTCGTATTAGTGTCCGTCACCGAGGGAAGAAACGACGGCGACCATGCTCTTTCCGCACACAAGACTCGTGTCGTGGAAAATGAAACCTTTGCAAATCGAGCCCGGGCGTGAAAGAGGGAAATCATTAGAGCTCTGGTGATTTCACGTCAAACAGGTCAGTTTTGCGCGGTCACAGAACGGGTTCAAACGCGCCGTTCGTGGAATCCTCACAAAATTAAGGAAGAAAACCATCGTAACAAAGTTCACCCATGATGCGAGTTCAGCGCGTTGGGCGTTGAAAGCATAAACCACACCGTGCAGCAGGCTATCAGTTTTCCCGCGGCGAGGAAAAATATGTCGTAAGACTAGTCAGATATTGCCAAAATTACTCCCATAAAATGTTCATATTTGAGGAAAGTTATTGATAATTGGACGTATTTCTATCAAGCGGAACTAAGTGCATTAAGACATGAGCCCTGAGACCCATGAGAATGCACACATAACAGGGCTCACGTCATAATGTTCCACATAATGTTGCCCTCTCAGTACCGTTTGATAGAAGTACGTCCAATTTTCCTCGAAACAACTAGAGAAAATAGAAATGTTGACGGTAAAATGCTCTGCTTTAAAGTAAAATTTTCAAAAGTATTACAAAAAAATTCGTACGTAATTGACAGACATTTGTCAACATCTGCATATTCAAACGATGTTTTTCCTCAGCACAGCTAAATCCTAGGTCTGCACATAGTTATATTGATATTCTGAGAATACAACTATTGCGGCTCCTAAGTAGCCACTATTGCCTACCCTATCAATTGAAGGCATTTTAAATATCGCTCTTTCCTGAGATATGTGATAAACTGCAATAAAGAAGATCGTGCTGCTGAAAAAATTTTGAAAAAATCTCGTAGAATTTTCCGGAAATGAGGAAGTAACTTGCTGTAAAGACCAAAAATTTTGCGAAAAAGTTGAAGGTTCAACTGATGGCTTCTTCCCGCCAAAATTAAATTACTATTTTCAGGTGTTTTGTAGCCTCGCTAAACTATTTCAAAAGCTTAATCACATTTTAAGATTTTGAATTTGCATTTTGAAACTATACAAAATTTAATGAAATTGTGTTTTGAATTTTTTTGTCTTCGCTTTTATTTCAAGTTACTTCCTCGTTCTCAAAAAATTTTACTAAATTTTTTGAAACTCTCTCAGCCAACCGATGTTTCACTTTCTTGTCAAAAGAGGAAGTATTGTCATCCTCAAAAAAAAGAAAAAAAGAAAGTTGAAATTTCATAATTTTTTAGTTTCATTCTTCAAATTATGACTTTGCATCGCTGCGTGTAAAGTATTTTGAAAATAGATCATAAAGAATTTTATTAAATCATATTTTCAAATGTAAAAAAAAGCAATTGATATTTGGATTGCATTTTGCAAAAATGAACCAGGAGCATGCAAAGCATGCAGCAGCATTGCAAGGAGCATTGCAATGTTGCTAAGATTGTGCAACTTCATCCATTGCAATACAACTATTGAAATCCTGAAAAAAATATGAAATTTACAGAGTAATTTTTGTCTTAAATTTACAGTTTTTAGCGAGTAAAATAGAAACTGTTTATAGATAGTCAGGTTTTTCTTCTAGGACAAAAGAAGTTGCACAATCTTAGCAGCATTGCAATGCTCCTGGTTCCTTTTTGCGAAATACAATTCATTTCATCTTATGAAATCAGAAATGCAGAATCTTCCGAGCTTCCACATTTACACCCATATTTTTCTCATCGGTTTTTCACATAATTTCCCACCAATCTTAAAAAAATGACCTTTTTTCTATTTTCTGTTGACTTTCGGCTGATGACCCTTCAAAATGTCTCCACCGTCCACATTTTTCTGGGCTTTTCCACATTTTCACGCGTCCAAGCGGGCGCATCATCGGGCAATCTCTGCACAACGACATAAAATTTCAAGCAACTGCAATTTTAATTTTCCTTGTGCAAAATTGCATGCAATTTTGCATCTCTGCTCACTCGGCGGGACGGCCCTTTGAAGGAGCATCCAATTTCCTCCTCGACCGGTTGCTTTTAGCACCGGTGATGGGACAGCTCGCAAAAAACTTCATAAAATTGTATTTCAAGATTTCATGAAAGTTTATTTTGATTTTTCATCTCATAAAATATCAGGAAACTTCATTTCGAAATATCTTTGGGCAAAATTGCATGCAATTTTGCATCTCTGCTCACGCGGCAGGACGGCCCTTTGAAGGGGCATCCAATTTCCTCCTCGACCGGTTACACTTAGCCCCGGTGGTGGGACCGCTCGGATGCTGTAAACCCGAGCCGGGAAGATTTCAGCGTTTCAGCAGCTGCCAGGCGAAAAGCGCGGCGCCACGTGACGCTACCGTGCGCGCGCATCCCCCCCATCCACCCTTTCCCCCGCTCCCGCCCACGACTCCTCGCTTTCCCGATCCCGCGCTCCACTCGTGGAAGTCGTGTCCGCGGAAGCTGCGGCCAGGAAGGAGTGCGCGTTCCGTCGTCTTCGACTTCGTCTTCGGGAGTGAGGTTAGGTTCGTCCGTTCTTCTCGCGTGTGTTTTCGTTCGCTGTCAAGCTGTCTTCGCACACGTACTCGGCGGCCGGGGCGGCCAGCCAGTCGACCGGACACCGGAAGCACCGGTCCCGATCGTCCTCGCGCTATGTCGACCAGGAGAAGCCCAAGAAGAAGAAACCCTCGGCCACCGTGTCCCTCGTGTCCATACCCAACACCATCCGGCTCTCCATGCTCAACAGTGGATTACTCTCTTTCGGTGAGTCCCTCAAAACCCTACCTGCGGACTGATTGTTCAAATCAATAGACATAGCGATATACAAAGATGACAAGGGAGTATGGAGCGAAATGAAAATGGTGGTTGAAATGATTGGTTGGTGGATTACTCTCTTTCGGTGGGTTCGTCAAAACCTTAGCTGCGGCAAATCGATAGACAAAGCTATAGACAAAGATGACGTAGGGAGTATGGAGCGATCCTATTGGTTGAATTGAGTGGTTGTTTAGACTAAGGGGGAAATGATGGACCATCTAAAGGGTCCCCCGTGTATTCTGCCGTGCTAAGGAAGAACGCCGTATGCACCCACAGTCATTGCCAAATTTCCTTGGATAAAACACAAATTTCCTGGTAAACTTATGAATATTTTCTTTTCAATTTTTCAGATACTTTCTCTCGCAATTTTACCTAAAGTTGCTGAAAATTTCAAAGAAAAATATTCATAACTTTCCTCAAAAGTGAACATTTTATCGGAGGAAATTTGGCAACTCTCGAATGTTCATACGGATTTCTTCCTTAGCACGGCAGTATATTGCCGGTAGTTAGTCTATTACTTATCCACTCTGACCATTGCAACCACCCGCTTCCACCAATAGGATCCCTCCTTACCCCTTTTGTCTTCTTCGAGTATCTCTATGTCTACCAGTTTCAACATTCGGCTCGCTGTGGGGTTTGGAGGACAAGACGCATAAGTGCAGTTTTTACTATTTCAAGAAATACGTGTTACGAGTTTCAAAATTACATGGAGCCTTATGGCAGACATGAAGTTTAAAGTTTTGATGCTTTAAAGTTGGACTCAAGTGGCGAATTTTTCATAGAATTACTTTGAAACTAGTTTCAGTGGAGGTCATGAATATCTAATTTTTTTCAAAAACTGTACTTATGCACCTTGTCCTCCAAGCCCATCATCTCAGTTTGCCTTCAGTTTTTGAGGTAGGCAAAATTCAGTGTTCAGAAGCCGCAAAACGATGGTGAAACTGCAGAAATTTTCTGGTTTACGGCGTTGTAGACTTCCTGTCTTGCTTTATTTTCTGTGTGAAAAAGTACCAAACTTCATTTCTTGAGAACTTCCGTGGTTTTTATGTTCTGTGTGATGAATATTCTAAGAAAATTTCTGCAGAAATGCGTGCCTCGGTTAACGGCATTGCAGACTTCCTGTCGGACATCATTTTCAATGTGGAAAAAAGTAATCTTTTTACATTCTCGGTGGTTTTTATCCTGTGTGTGATAAATATTCTACCAAAACTTCAAGCCATATTGTTGGTTAGGTCTCCTTTTAAGAAACTAAGTATGAGCGGAAATTTTGAAACACTCCAAAAGTGATACTCATTTTTGCAGATCAAATAAAGGTATTCGCATTTCTTCCAGATTTCCGTGTTCAGCAGTGGATTCAGTCACTCTCTTCCGAGGATTAATAAATTGGACTTCATTTTGCAATTTGGAACTATAAATTCTAGCCCAGTTTAAAAACAACGTATGTTTCAACGTATCCGTAACGGAGAGTTTGCTATCTACAATTAAAATTGAATTCAGTAAATTAACACTTATCCTCCGTTGAAAAATTAAAATCAAAGCACTATAGAATTGGTGATTGAAACCAAACTAATGCGACCTGCATGCCTGGAATTTGAAACCTAGTGGTCATGTTTCTCTAGCTATGCTGAAATCGTTTTAATCTCAAGAGAAACTCGGAGAATTTAAAAAATAAATATTTTCTGAAACGGACTAAAACTAACAGTGCGACTAATTGGACTAAACAAACTTCAGTTGTTAGACTAGCAGGGGGTTCAAATTGGCAGTCAAAGCGAATGATGATTTTGCGCTCACGTGTTAAATTTGAAAACTTTCGATACAACTACCGTTTTCATTACACCTATCATGTTTCTCCAGCTATGCTGAACTCCTTGTAATCTCAAGAGAAATTCGGAGAATTTAAAAAAATAATTTTACTCTGAAACGGACTGAAACTAATATTGCCCCTAATTTGACTAAATAAACCTCAGTTGTTCGAAGAGCAGGGAGTTCAAATCGGCGAACACAGCAGATGATGATTTTGTGCTCACATGTTAAGTTTGAAAACTTCCGATACATCTACCGTGTTTTGCGTGCATTTTGGAGGATATAAAGGTTGTGGTGGTGGATTGCACGCCCCGTCTAGTGGAGCCTTAATTTGGCGAGGAAGGCAGAATTAAGTGCTAGAGAGCCGCAAAGTGGTATCCACATTTTATCGGGCCTTACATGCTCGAGGCTTAACGGAGGATTACTCTCTTTCGGTGAATTCGTGAGACCTTTCATCCCGATTCCCCTGAATTTGTGGAGGAAGGCAACATTAAGTTCTCGGGAAACGCAATAGTGTTAACCGCGTTTTATCCGGCTTTCCGTGATCAACAGTGGATTACGCTCTTTGGCGAGTTCGAGGAACTTTTCCATCACTTCATTTCGCACTGCGGAGAATCAGATTTGCTGCACAATGGAAAATAAATCGTTTCCTTGCCAGTACCGCGTTACTCTGAGAGGAATCCTCGTCGCGTTTTTTAAGCGAATTTTTTTCTATTAGTGAACTATTAGTATTGATTTAGAAGATCTCCTTGCCGTGATGAAGTTTTTCAGTTGTGACACCCAGAATAAATGAATTACGAAATGATAATTTTCACTTCCACAACTGAACGTACTTATGCTAAAAGGTACAATGTTGCACGTTAACCCTATGCGTAAACCCTATTAAGTGCTGAATGAACTGAGTTCATGGTATTTTTGATCATTTCTTCCAATTAGTGAAAATTACAGAGAAATAGAATTAAAATTGAGGAAATTTACCGCCTTGTGACATCATCAGGGGACATTAAACCCGTGTATTTTAGAAAACAGTTCTTCTGCACATAGTTCTTTTTAGTATGAATACGTCCATACTGAAATATTGACTCGTGCACGTAATTGTTTCTTTGATGAAGTGAGAAGTATTTTTTCCTCGAAATTTCAATTTTGTGCAAATTGTTCCCATCGATACCTGGAAACATGCGTGTCCCAGGTTTTGACGTCACAAAATTTTCATCACACTTGATTGTTTTAATGGAAAAAATATCAAATTTTTTTGAAAACATCCCTAATTATTGCTCTTGGTGCGAAGATTTCCTATAAAAATTCCAGGAGATGCGCTTTGTTCTTTTTGATTTTGGTGTTTATTGTACGATTTTACTCGTATGTCTTTTTCTTTTTTTTACGGGAAACTAAAAAATCACAGAAAGAAATCACAAACTGAGATTTTTCTGTTTTTACCGCACACTGCTCAAAAGAAAGATTCTCAGTAAATTTTCAGAGAATAGACTAGGTAATTTCCTGTAAAAACTAGAATATGAGCGGAAATGGAGAATTCGCACCAAAAAGTTTATTGCTTCATCTGACAGTGCTAGATGAGCTGAGTTCAAGGTATTTTTGATCATTTACTTCCGTTAGTGAAAATTATAGAAAAATAGAATTAAAATTGAGGAAATTTACCGCCTTGTGACATCATCAGGTGGCATTTCCCATTTAAACCCGTGTATTTTAGAAGATTACTAAATTTTGTAACCTCTCCTCTAATACTAATTATTATCCATTTTAAAAATCAAGGATATTTTCCGGGTATACGGACTTAATGTCCACGTTTTTTTACGTCCACAGACTTTTCGTCCACAATTTTTACTTCCACAGTTCTAAAGCCCACACTATCATTAAGTCCATTACTTAAACGTCTACTAAGTTAAGTCCACAAATGTAAAGTCCACTAAAATCAAATTCAAGCGTCATATTTTAGTCCGTGTGTAAAATTAGATTGACAATATCGAAATGAGAAAATTAAGAGAGAATGAGGTGTTGTTATCGTAATTCATATTTTAAATGAAATGTTAATTTCTTCTTTTGATTCATCTTTTCAAATTGTTTTTGGTAAATACTTGGTTTAATTTCTATCCTTGAAATTTCCGATATAAAATATGCCTTAAATGTACATTCTTTTTTTTTGAAATTGATTGCTCCATTTTAAAAACATTTACGTTTTTAAAACGTGGTAAATATTTGTAAAATCTTTTAAAAGCAATGGCATCGATATGAATCTCAATGAGCCGTAGTTGTGATGAAAGAAACTATATAAAAATTAATAAAAGAGGAAAAAAACTAAGAAGCACGCAATTTTTTGTTTTTAACTTATTTGTACATCGACCTCCTTGAGTCAAATACGTCCAATTTTGAGCGTTTGGTTGCGCTTACACCACGCTGCAGCACAGTAAAAGCCCAAAACATAAAAGAATAAATTTGAATGCTTTGGAAATCATTAAATTTGACACGGAACCACTATTATATTCACAAAAAACACATTATATTTTCCAGTAGTACATATTTCTTTTTCATCAGTTTAAAAGGGAATAATCAATGCAGAGAGTGCAACAATTTCAAAATCATGAGTTGAAAAACGCTGACTCCGTGAGTTTAAATATTAGAGCCTAAGACAGAGCGGAGCGGCGTGTTAGCAGCGCAGAACGCGCACTGGCGCCTACAAACCTAACGGGATACTTCACGCACTGCGCAATGCGTGAAGTATCCCGTTAGGTTTGTAGGCGCCTATGCGCGTGTCACGCTGGTTGCCTGCCGCGCCGCAACGCTTTAAGCAACTATTTCGCGTCAGAAGTGTTGCACAGTATCCTACAAGATTGAAGGCGCACGAAATAACTAGTTAATGAGGACTTTTGTAAATGTTTAATTTGGCATTGGAGCGTTTCCTAGGCTCCCGCTTTGGTTTTCATCTTATCATATCCGTACAGTGTACACATGAACATATGTTTTAATCTGCTCTTAGAGTCTGTACTCTTAACTCTTCACCTCTCTTAATTTAAAAATCTAAATTTTCGTATATACTCACATTTTCAAAATTATCTGTAAAGACGTTAATAGCCTGAGACGCTGAATATCTTAAAATTATACTAACTAACTAACTCTTTCATGACTTGATT